GTGGACACAAAAAGTGGCATTTGTGCAAATGTCCCAAAAAAATATTACAAGAGAGGCCTTTCAGTAATGTTTCGAGCAAAAGAAATGACTAATAGTGGAAAAGTCGATATACCTCAAAGAAAATCCATAAATTATAGGCGTTAAACAATTCCATTTGAACAAAATCAAGTTGTTGATATTTCATTACCAAATAAACAAATCAAGTTGTTGTCCATGGACCATGGCTACAGTCTATAGATATTAGTCGTACAACATTAATTAGTCATACTTTAAAAAAAAAAACATTATTTAGTCATAAGAAACAAGGGTTACATTTTATCTGACGTTATACCAATAGCACTAAACTCATTTATGGAAGAAAATATGAAAGGTATACTACAATTTTGCCTCTCTTTATCGGATAAGAATAATTTACTTCATGAATCAAAATTTGTTGATACTGTATGTTCGGTAGAGTGGTTTTATATGAAGAATACGATCATATATATATTTTTTAATCTCATTCAGATTGAAGAATCTACATACATGTCAAATAGGGCTGGAATTATTATTCGGGATTTGATATCCGATTTGGTATTCATTCGGTTCCGCTCTGAAATAATAAAATATCTAGGAAGTCCGGATCCGGATAAAGATAGTAAAATCTCGGATCTGTGAAAAAACGAATTCGGATCCGGATAGTAAAATTTTAATGCCCGGATATCTGGATCTGGACACATTAAATATATTAAAACATATGTTTTTTACATATATTAAGTTATTTTTATGTAAATATATATATATATGTATATTTGATTTTAGTTCTTTTCTAATTTATCATATTTATTATGAAATTATCATTCAAACTTTTAACTAATAATTTTTAAAAAATTGTTTATATATATATATATATTTTTTTTCTAGTTATTTTAATTTTTTAATAATATTTTTAAATCTAGAACCGGAAATCCGGAAGTTACAGATCCGGATCCGAACATCCTGAAATTCCAAGATATCCGGATCCGTCTCAGCGCTAATATCAAAGAATGAAACTGTTTTTATCAGACTAGTCCAAAATTTAACAAAAGAAAGAAAATAGGTATTTTCAAAAAAATATTATCATTATTTGTAACTATGCAACTAGCCAAAAGCCAAATTAAGGAAAAAAAATTTGAACTAAAAGCAACAACGTCTATTAAGAGAGAATATACGAAAGCATGCTTGATTAAATAGGTTTTCATGTTATTTAAGAAAAGTGGCCAATAGAAAAGCAATGGAATACTATCTTTATTCAACAAGCAAAAGGCAATAACACTTGTTGAATGTAATGATAAGGATTTTCAAGAAGTTGGGTAAAAATAGTGATGATATTCATAAATTTGATGTGACAACCACAACACTTGCATTATCAGAGTACCATTCAAATCTTTACAACATAAGGAATGCTAAAAAAAAATATAGAAGACGCGGCATTAGAGAATTTTGAAAAATACTCTATAAAAGAATAAACTATATTAATTTTC